CGCAAGTTACGGAGAACACGCCAACTAATTTTTGATGCCGGAACAATTCAAATTAAATATCTAGCGCCCATAAAATATGATTAGGTTGTGGGCCCAAGTTACTTTCAAGAGTTAACGCCAACTGCGCATCCCAGCGGTTAGCAGGTGCTTAAACAGTTAGAAATTTGAAGCAAGTGCACACAAGATACAGTACTAGGTAAAACATGTTCATACCTTTTTTCTCAAGAAATAATTAGTGGGCCATTTCCAGCTTTCATGTAGAAGGCAATCTTTGATTTTCAAAGCAATAAAGTCCATTTGAAGAACTACAGATCCTGGAAAAGCAAAACAGAAAATATGGAATGTGATTAGATTATTAACAGAGTGCGATGACAGAATAAATTTCCCGATTTCTGCAAACTATGAGTTACACGTAAGCGCATTGCAAGAGCCTCAGCTTAACTCCTCGCGAGAACTAGACAGCAAAACCAACTTGAGACTTATGCTACGAACTAACAAGGGAAGTCCGAAAATGCCTTCGAAAGACAAAATTGCTGCAATCAATGAGTTTCTTCAAGCATGCTGTCACGAGTTACTTTCAAAAGTTACTGCCAACTGTGTCTCTCAGAGATAATTACACACTATGTTAGTAAGAAATTTCAAGCAAGTGCACATAAGATGCAATACGGAGTAAAACCTGTTCATACCTTTATTCTTGGGAAAAAATTAGTGGGCCATGTCCAGCTTTTATGTGGAAGGTAATCTCTAACTTCCAGAGCAATCAAGTCCATACGGAAAACTACAGGACCTGGAAAAAAAAAGTGGAATGTGATTAGGTTCTGAACAGAATGCAATGACAAACTAAACCTCCCGATTTCAGCAAACTATGAGTCATACATAAGCGCAGTGCAGCTAACTCAGATTCATTCTAGCAGGCACTAAGCAGTGAAACCAACTTGTGACTTATGCTATGAAGCCACTTTAACAAGGCAAGTTCGAAAAATACCTTTCAAAATGAAATTTTCACATTCAATGAGTTTCATCAAGCCTGCTGTCACAAGTTAATTTCAGAGGTTACTGCCAAGTGCACCTCCCAGAGATGGGTGTTTGAACACCGTGATAGTAAGAAATTTCAAGCAAGTGCACACAAGATGCAGCACTGAGTAAAACATGTTCGTATCTTTTTTCTTGAAAAATAATTAGTGGGTTACGTCCAGCTTTCAAGTGGAAGGCAATGTTCGTAACTTGCACAGCAATCAAGTCTATATGAACAACTATAGAACCTCGAAAAAAAAGAAAAACAAAAAAATGTGGAATGTGGTTAGGTTCTGAACAGAATACAATGACGAACTAAACCACCCGATACCTGCAAACTATGAGTTACACGTAAGTGCACTGCAGGTGCCAGTGTGGTTCAAGAAAGCTGTAAACCCAAATGAAATTACTTGAAAGGGGCCAGGACACAGAAATTAGGCAAGTAAGAGTATTCATTACATGACAGCCCCATAGGTTACTGGACATACAGAAAACATTTCAGAATACAAGTTCCAATCATTACAAAAATATATCTTTTAATGTTTCTGATTTCTATCTGGTGACCAGGATACCTGGGTGACCAAGCGATGCCTGAACATCGAACTCTGAGAACACCAAAGCTCATTGCAAGGGACCTAATACTAGTATTTAGCGGTGCACTGTCGCGATTGCGGGTGCAAACCGCAGTTCTCCAACACCATTGTATTGTTTAAACACCAAGACCAAATGTGTAAGGAAATGAAGGAAACCTATTACATAATAAAAAACAGACCATCTTGAGTGAGCCAACCTTCACTGACTCCAACGAACAGTGAGATTCATTTTCTGGATCTTGGTTAGCATGTGGAGTGTGCAATGAAGAAGAAAGAAGTGCAAAATCCACGGTGCGCCCTATGCCCGTGCGAACATAGTGCCATCTACACATTCCAATGAAAAATCAGTTGTTATTCAGCACTTATCCTATGTAGTCCTTCCTTTTTGTCCTTTTCCCTTTTGAGCTGTTTTTCACAAAAAAAATTTTTAATCCATGATAAAGTGAGAGAACCAAGATTCAGTGAGGAAAGTTTTGATATTAAATGACAGAGAGATACATGATCGAAAGCCTTAGAGTAATCAAAAAATATGGCATCATATTTGGGAGTTAGTGTTCATATTAACATGAATATCATGGGTGAACTCCGGCAACTGCCTCTAGCATGAATATCTTTACGAAACCTGTACTGATCTTGGTAGAAAAAGTTGTTAGTAGATTCCAAATGCGATACTACATGAGAAAATGTTGGGTTCTAACAACTTGCATACAACGCTGGTTAATGATATAAGACGGTAGTTTCCCGCAGAGTGACGGTCGCCACTTTTGTAGATTGGAACGACCTTCCCAACCTTCCGCTCGTGTGGGATGCAACCAGTGGACGAATGCTGGAAAAGTAGACTGCATATTACGGCGTGCTTAGGGGTAGCCCAGTGGGCACCGCACCCGACTGTCATGCAGAGGTCCCGGGTTTGAATTTTGGGACCGGCAGATGTTTTTATTTAGTCCTAAGACGATGCTTCTGGAAAATTTGAGAAGGCCGTGGTTAACAAATCTAACTAACAAATCAGTACATTCCCTTAAGGAGAGTTATCGAAAACTCTCAGTCACCCTGGTTCACCAGAGCCTTAAAACGCTTATCAAACAAAAAAAAGCGTCTATTTCGCGCCGCAAAATCATCCACGTGCGAGCACCGTTGGTTGCGTTATCGTACTGCTGCTGAAGTGTACAAAAAAGCAATTGAAAACGCCAAACTAGAATTCATGACTCATAGCCTACCCGCAATGTTGATCAACAATCCTAGACAATTCTGGAATACAATAAACAAAAAGACGCAGTCATCTATCACACTAAAAACCGCAAATGGTGATTGTATAGCCAGCGATGAGTGTTTAAATTTATTAAATAGTACTTTTGCAGATTCATTCTCTACTGATAACATGCACGATTTCCCTTCGCTAGAGAGTGCCGATTACTTGCCCATGGATCCTCTTTTTCTTGATTACGTTGGTGTCGGTCATATCATAGATAAACTCAAACTGTCATCTTCAGCAGGAGTGGACGGTATTAATTCCAAGTTTTTACAAAACACTAAACAATACTCCTCAATTATTTTAACAAAATTATTTGAACAGTCTATACACGTTTGCAAGTCCGGTCTCAGGGCGCCGCCATCTTCCTCAGTGGGGTGCGCTCTCGGGAGCGGCCATAATCCGATTACGACGCCTTAGCAAGGCTTCGTAATCGGATTATGACTGGTCCAAGCGCACCCCAGACAGGCAAGATGGCAGCGCCCTGAAGCCGGACTTGCAAACGTGTATACAAGACGCTGTTCTCCCATCAGACTGGAAGGTAGGGAAGGTGGTACCCATTCACAAGGCTGGAGATAAATATTCCCCTCTTGATTATCGTCCGATCTCAATAACCAGCATTCCTTGCAAACTTCTTGAACATATAATTTTTTCTCACCTTGTCAACTTCTTAGAATCTAACAACTTCTTCAACAATGCCCAACACGGTTTTCGAAAATCATTTTCATGTGAAACCCAACTACTATCTTTCACGAATGACCTACATCACATTCTGGACCGAGGATCCCAGGCGGACTGCATTTTCCTGGACTTCGCCAAAGCATTTGACAAAGTTTCTCACAATCTTCTGCTTCTAAAACTTTCCAAACTTAACATAGACAATAACGTTCTCGCATGGATACAGTCTTTTTTAACTCAACGGTCTCAATTTGTCACTGTGAATAACAATAACTCCTCTTTTGTCAAAGTTGCGTCAGGGGTTCCGCAAGGGACAGTCTTAGGACCGTTGCTATTCTTAATTTATATTAACGACCTACCCACTAGTGTCTCTTCGTCCGTGTCTCTGTTCGCTGACGACTGTGTACTCTACCGTGAGATTCTCAATCATAATGACACCTGCATACTCCAATCAGACATTAATGCTATTTACGGTTGGTCTGACTCGTGGTCTATGAAGCTTAACACTAACAAATGCAAGGTCATGCGTGTGTCTCGCCAGTCTCAGGACTGTCCTAACTATTTCCTTAATAATGCTCATCTAGAACCGGTATCTTCGTACAAATATTTAGGCGTACATATAGCTTCTAACCTTTCATGGAAAACACATATTCAGCATATTTCAGCTAACGCTAACCGCATGTTAGGTTATATCAAACGAAATTTTTCATTAGCACCTGTCTCACTGAAATTAACTCTTTACAAAGTTTTAATTCGTCCCAAGTTAGAATATGCAGCTTCTGTCTGGGATCCCGGACTAGTCACTCTCGTATCTACGTTGGAAGCCGTTCAGAACAGATCCGCTCGTTTCATCCTCACAAACTATCACCGCACCGCTAGCGTCACCTCTATGAAAACAACTCTCTCATTACCACCTTTATCTCTACGTCGTAAAATTTCTCGTCTTTCCCTATTCCATAAGATATATCACCATAATTCTTTCCTGCGCGACAAAATAATTGCTTGGCCTGTCTATGTTTCCTCCCGTCTTGATCATCAACATAAGGTGGGCATTCCTAACTCTGTCACGACCACGTTTTATTCATCTTTCGTTCCCCGTACATCCCAGGAGTGGAACCACCTTCCCCGGTCGATCGCCGTTATCACGGACTCTGAGCTCTTTAAAAGTACAATAACTAATTACTTTATTACTGAGTGTGTCTAAATATGTATTATGTTACTTGCATTAACCTTCTTGTTGCTCTCCCCCTCTGTAATGCCTTCGGGCCCTGAGGGTATAACCTCCTGAGGCCCAGCAATGGAGACTCTGTCCAATATATTGGACAACAAAGTCTGAGCTACAACGTCAATAGTATTGCTTTTTTGCGCGTAGAAACCCGTTGTCCCATATTTTGGACACCTAGTGCCGCCATCTAGTGAGTAGTATCGAAGTTGTTTATGTTGCAGCGCCACCAAGCTCATTCAAAATGGCAGCGCTCAGCGGCTCCACGTTTTACGGCGACGGCCGAAAACGTAAGTTGTTTTTCGAGATATCTGACCTGTTTTTCTAACTTTCTATTGCTTGAGTATTAAACACAATGGTACAGAGAATACATAGGACTGTAGATTTGAGCTTTAAGCACGTCTGCTTTTATGTAAACTTCACAAACTTTGTCACGTCCAATACAATGGACGTTGGGCCTATGCCCAAGCTACGCGAGTTGGTGCAACTTTTTGTTTCGTGTTGGCGCCTCATGAAGCGAGGCCGCTTGCTTTTCATTTTTACTCAGTTTTATATTGTTTTATTTTACTTAGGGACCAGACCGCGTATCAGTGACGCAACAGCTGACGAAATCCTCGAAAGAATTGCGCGGGGCCACACGTCGGACATGGATCTCTCAGACAGTGATGACGATGTGGCAGACGCCACTTTTTCTGCACCAGCTTTACCTGATGCACCTAGTTCAGACGAGGATGATGCCAGCGATGATGAAGAACCTTCCACCTCGTGCAGAACCAAACGGATGCCGTCATGGGAAGCCGCTCAAGGGTAAGGATCAAGACTGGACATGTTTCCATTCTTACATGCCTTTTCCGAGATCTGAACCAAAAGCAGTACTTATTTTACTCTTCTTTTTTTTTACAGGCCGATTTCGTCTTGGATGGCAGATTTCTCTGCTTTCGCTGACGGCCAGCAAGGACGGACTTCCTGGGCTCCCAATGAGTACTTCCAGCAGTACATCACTGATGAAGTTTTCGAAAGTATGGCACTGGCAATGAACACGAAACATGTCGCTGAGACCGGGAAAAGCCTTGACACATCTGTGGAGGAGTTGAAAGTATTTTTTGGAATTTCGGTTTCAATGTCCTGCCTAGGCTACCCACAAATCAGGATGTACTGGCAGAATAGTACAAGGGTGCCTTCCATTGCGAACAGGATGTCTAGGAATCGATATTTTCAACTGCGATCTCGACTAAAAGTTGTGAATGACCTGGAAGTAAGCGTGCAGGTAAAAGAACAAGACAGGCTTTGGCGGATCAGACCTCTTGTGTCGTCTGTATTGAAAGGTTGCCAGAAGCTTCCCCGCGAGGAGTACCTAAGTATTGATGAGCAAATGATACCATTTAGCGGAAGAACACAGCTGAGGCAGTTTGTGCCACGGAAACCAAACCCCGAAGGGCTTAAGAATTTTGTACTTGCGACACCAAGCGGCTCGATTCTTGACTTCGAAATATACCAAGGCAAGAAATCCACCCTACATCCAGGCAGTTCTGGAATCGGCGAGTCAGCTGTGCTCAGGCTTACAGACACACTCACTCCAGGAACCAAGCTGTTCTTTGACAGGTATTTCACCTCCGGGGCACTGCTCGATAAGCTTGCGGAGATGGGCATTGCCGGCACAGGGACGATAATGAATAACCGCATCCCGAAGGGTGCAAAACTGTCCACTGAAAAAGAGCTTAAGGCCAAAGGGCGAGGAACATCCGGTATGAAAGTGAGGAATGACAGCAAACAAATAGTAGTTCGCTGGTACGACAACAAGTCAATCACATTCCTCTCGTCAATTCACGGTAAAGAGCCAGAAGATACGTGCCGTAGATGGTCAGCTAAAGAGAAGAGGCACATAGACGTCCCCAGGCCAAACATTGTACGCTTGTACAACACGAACATGGGAGGGGTTGACATGGCTGATCGAATGATCAGCTACTATCGAATGAAAGCGCGAGTAAAAAAGTGGACTGTACGATGTATCTTTCATCTTATTGACATTGCCTTAAGCAATTCCTGGATTCTGTACACCCAAGACATGCGCGCCCAACAAAGGCGACAGAAGGACGTACTCAAATCATTAGAGTTTCGCCTGTCTGTAGGAGAGGCCCTTGTCGCAGAAGGCCATAGGGAGCCTTCAGACACTGACAGTGACACAGATTGGTCCCCTGCAGCAAAACGGGCTAGGTTGCCTCCAATCGAAGCTAGATCAAAAACATTAGGACACTTGCCAAGACTTGCGGATGTAGCAAATGCGGCCCGTTGTAGGCTAGAGGGATGTAACATGAAAACTAAATTTTTTTGCATCAAGTGCAAGCTGTTCTTTTGTATAACCAAGGAAAGACAGTGCTTCGAGAAAGCTCACACAAAGTAAAGAAACTAAGTGCCAACATTTGTGATGTCCAGAGTCTGGAAGAATAATCTGTATGCTTATGTATTTTTGAGTTCGCATGAATAAAAGCTTCTTTATTTTACTTGATCAAATCAAATGCTTGCTTTCTTAGACACAAGTATCTATTTAATCTAGATTGCCTCGTTGAAAATATAAAGATGTGTAGGCCCAATGTCCAATATATTGGACACTGTGTTGAGCCATTCTGGCAATTCATATGGAAGTAAAAGCTGCTGTAGTGTGGTACTTAGGCCATATAAAAGGTATTTTGAAAGTTTAATGAGAATCTGCTGCGGTAAAATCGTCCTGGGCCTCAGGAGGATAATAAATGAAATGAAATGAAATGAAATTCTATATTTTAGTATAGAATGTTCGAGTACAGAATGTTCTAGAAAGGAAAGTGCTATAAAAGAAGCCCCGCGTGGCCTTATGCAACCAGTTATCGCTTGTCCTCGACCCTGTTCCATTGAAGACACTCGACGCCTCCGACGTGCTGTTATTTACCTTTAATTTGGGCAAAGTTCGCCCCATTAAACGTTCATTTTGTTCAGTTTTACTTTGCCTCATCACCTATTTTTGGTGACAATATTTCGCTGGTTACACCCTTGGTATTTTTTAGAATTTTTGTATTAATTGAGTCGACACCAGCCAATCTGAAAATTTTGAGGTTATCATCAATATCGCAATTTCAGACGGTGTTATAGAAATAGTGTTCGTATACCTAAAATCGACATCTGGTACAAAAGGTAAGAAGGAACTATCTCCATCAGTAAAAGTAGATTAAAAGCAATTGTTCAAAACCGTAGGACATACAGCGTCCGAAATAACACTGCCATCATTGTTCATCAAGAGTATTGAACAGGATGACTGATATGAGAAAATAAGTTTCCGAAAAGTTTTTTGGTTATTCTATAATATTAAAGGCAGGTCACAGTTATAAAATTTGTCTTCGAAGAAATGCATACGTTCGATACAGAGTTTGGCCCAAGAGTTATATTTGGTCCAGGCTGCCTCGACACTCGAGTTTTTGGCTATCTTTAATAGTCTTTTTTTTCTGTTGCCCTAGTTTTCAAAATCTTCCTTGTACCGGGGTTTAGTGCTGTCTAACCAAATACGAAAGCATAGAACAAAGGCAAGAATAAATTCTAGCAACTTCTGTTTGGAAAGTAACTAGTCGTCATTAACTGTACAATTAAAAAAAAAAAATTTACAACATAATTGTCAGAAAATTTCGAGAGAGCTATGTTAAATTTGGCAATCACTGGGCCACAATACCGCTAGCAGACATTAGTTGCTAGAATGACAGCAAGCTGAAGTTTTCAAATAACCAACCTGCAGCAAAAAGATGTTTGAGTGCTCCATCACGGCTGTGGTAGCGTGCCCCGAATGACCGGCATGGGATAACGGCTTTTGTAGAGGCATCGCAGCTGACGACCAATGTTGGCAGGCTCCTAATGCTCCTAACTTGAAATCCACCAGGACGGGTTTTGGGAGCCGCTGTTTCCCGTGGTTGGCTCGAAAATGATCGGTTCAGTGGCGTCCCATGGTCCGTCCAGCACATGGGCCCCGTCATTGCTGGCAATGCTCAGAAGTATAGTCTGCAACAAAAATATGTGTGAGTGCTCCATCATGGCAGTGGTAGTGTGACCCCCCCCCCCCCCCCTCTGAATTCAGCTTTTGGAGCAGGTGGTTCCGGTTCATCACCTTGTAAAAAGCGATGCAAGTACTATAGAAAACCCCGCAGTTCCTCAAAGTGCCATAAAAACTATTTCAACTGTGATTAAACACAGACAAATATTTGCACCAAAAAGATTGTTGTTGGAAGTGTTGTAATAGAAGGGGATAGAAAGTAAAAACGCAAAACGCCTTTAAATCTCGATCCATTTACTAAATCAGTTCAGTCTTCGGCAACTGCAGGGCAATAAAACTATTTCAACAGAGCGAATAAACCACACGTTGCAACATGCATTTTTCCTTAAAGGGATGGTGAACCGAAATTTGGATTTCAGAAAACAATGCAGGAGCTGTAGGTGGGACGCTAGAATCCCTACGAGACTACTCGTAAGGCGAAATTTTGAATTGACGGCCGTATTTTTGGAAAAAGAGGTCAAGATTGAACGAGGCCGACGAGGGACGTGGCGTCAACGTATCTGGTTTTCTCCTCTCTTCGCCTCGCCCTATCAAGGCGGCGAGGCGGGGAAGACGCGAGACCGTTCCCTTTCCTTCTCGACTCTTCTCGGAGAAACAAGATGTCAACATATCTGTCAAATGCACCTCCTTTTTTAGAAAATATGGTCGAGATATCGCTATACGGGTGATGTTTTGGTGCTTGTAGCATCCCGTTGCACGCTTTTGCCGCCGTGTTTTGTGGAATCCAGATTTCGGTTCAGCATCCCTTTAAAATGCAAATACAGCGAGGAAGAATCGTACGAGTGTTCCTCAAGTAATTGGGGCCACTGAAACAATGATTGACACCTCACTTCCTCCCATGCAAGGCATCAATAATCGTTCCAGCCAAAGGGAAACCATAAAGGAAAAGTAAAAGTTGAAAACTTTTCTCGGAAAGTGGCTACTTTTCGCTCAAGCACATATTTTAATGGTTGCTTTTACGCAGAGAAATATAAGCGAGTAACTTGGGGTTCCTTAATTTCATGAAAGGACAAAATTGTTTCCGTCTATGGCAGAGTGCTTGCTCAGCTCACCGTGGGACAGAAGTGGTTCGTGTACCTCAGTCCTATTTATTATCGAGCGGTAACATATCATATCCGCTGAAAGTATTTAATAAATCATAGTGGCAAAAGCAGGTGGCACGTCTTCGTCTGCTTCCAGCCAGCATCTAATGATGTCGGTGGCGCCATCCTGCGGTAGGTTATGCAAGCACGGTCGTCGTTCGCCCGCTAGGCCTACTGCGAAACGAACGAACCCCCGGTTTCTATGACAATTGCCGGATCATGCATCCCAGCTTGCTTGCTGCAGCGCGAGTGCGGCCACCGAACAACCATCTTGCACATTGAAAAATTGTTTTTGGAACGTGGCGGAGGCTGGCGGCAGCGAGCTGAAGACATGTTTTCTACTTGTTTGTCGTCATTTGCCAAACAAGCTTTTTAAAACCCTGTGTAAGCCGTGAAACTTGCCGTTGAGAAAACGTGGAAATTTTTACGGCAGCAGAGTGCCACAGGAAAAAGGCACAACTTGTCGAAAGCATGTTTCACCGGTCTAGTGGCGTGATGAAAGCTCCCTGGCCCGCAAAAGCACTGTGTCTCTGTGCCTTCGCATGCTCGGATGACAATAAAGAATCAACGTGTAAATGTGTTTTGCGAGTGCAATGTGTGTGAAGCCATATATGTGCTTCTGGAGCAGCGTTTTGCTTTACCCCGACGACTGTACAGGGTGTCACAGAAGAAAATTTAAGCTGTCTTTTTTACTGCAAAAATCAACTAGGCATTGTCGAACGCTTATTCTCCGCCGAAAGGTAGAGCTAGAGGTCACAACCGGATGCCAAAGTTCCAGCCCGATCCGATAAATTAATCAAAAGTTATAGACCAACACGCGGCCCTGACGTCAAGCAGCTGCGGTGGCGCTGTCGACGGCACTGCACATGCGCAGACGCTTCCCTTCACGCGAATTCGGTTTCTGCGCACGCGCAGTGCCCACACCTGGTGTGGGCAAACGCCGGCTTGTTTGTAAACAGCGTGTCGGTCTATAAGTGATTTTCTGAAAATTTCATTGGGAAAATGGCAGCCGACAGTTTTCAAACAGATGGGGCTCTATGGCACCAGAAACCGAAAACGGGCAAAAATGGGCTCCATTTTCCCATTGAAATTTTCAGAAAATCACATATAACTTTTGATTAAGTTATCGGATCAGGCTGAAACTTTGGCATCTGGTTGTGACCTCCAGCTCTGCCTTTGGGCGGAGAATGAGCTTTCGGCGATGCCTAGTTTATTTTTGCAGTAAAAAAGACAGTGTAAATTTTCTTTTGTGACACCCTGTATTTGTAACTTCCGGCACTCGCGGTCCAGAAAGAGCTTGATCCAGTGGCCAGTGGCAACGAACGAGGAGGGGAAGGTACACATCATGATACTGTTAGTGCGAACACGACATCGGCACATTTCACTTCCAATTAGTATTAGCGAGCACAAAATGTTTTTGCTTACATTATATGAGCTCTTTCCGTAGCAATAATAACTTGGATGACATCCCTTGGTTTCAAAGAGAAAAACTGGAAAAACCAGCGATCACTTGTTCGCAGAAACTGTGTCGCACTCAGTACGTCTTTTTTTCGTCGTTAGACGATTTACAGAATATTGTGCACGATAGCTCCTCATCACTGATTAGTGCTGAACCATTATAAACCTACTTTATTGCACCTGACGTTTGAGCGCGACTCACCTAATTGTGATTGGCCAAGGGACTGCACATGACCGTATGGGTCGCGCTTCAAAAATTTTAATTCTCGCTGTCTTGTAGTTTTGCCTCCGAAAACCAAACTTGCTCCACAGCGTTGCTCTATTTGTGCTGCCATGTGATCCATTAGAGCAGATATGGAACATGGTTAATAGCCATGGTTAATAGTGCATAAGAGCAACCGTCCATATTGTTTTTCCTCTTTATTCAAAGCAACTTGCCGGAACAGCTGGACGACCCAGAACTAAGTGCCCGATATATGATGCAAAAACATCTACGCGCGACACACCTTCAAAACTTTGCCGCGGCGCCGATTCTTGATCGGTATCCAGGCGCGCGAAGCCAAACGCAGCGCTTCGGCGTGCCAAGGAAGCTTTGATCACGCCGCGGTAAACTTGATTTCGACGAGTTGCGCCTTTTTCCTAGGGCACTGCGCTTCCGTAAAACTTTTGACGTGTTCTCAACGGCAAGTCTCACGGCTTACACAGGGTTTTAAATAACTTTTTCGGCGAATACCGACGAACGAGTAAAACACGTAACTTCAGCACGCTGCCGCCAGCCTCCGGAACGCTCCA